GCTGATGCTCTATCCACTGAGCCAAACCGGTTAGGGCTTAGGCTTTTATATATATAGAGTTTTTTATGCATACATATACTTAAAAAATTATACTGTAAGTCCTGTTTTGGCTATTAGATTTTTTTTTCACTAAAAATAAATTTCTCTGTCACTTAATTTCTTCCATAAAATCCTTAATAGAATATGTTTCATTGATTGGCTATAATTTAATCTCCAAGTTTTTTTTAGTGGGGAATATAAACAAAGTTCCTGTAAACATTCAGGAGCTAATTCTTGGTTAGTTCCTTAGGAGTAAATACCTAGAAATGACATTCTTAGGTTACAGTTATAGATACATATTACCGACTTGGCTTTCCAGGAAATTGATATCAATTCCCCCCAGCAGAATATTGATTGTATTTGCTTCCCTGAAGCTTCTCTAAGAGTACTTACAAGTTTTTTTTGTAAATTTGACACAAAATAACAATTTTGTTTTAAGGAAATTGAGTTTTTTTCCTATTAGCCCTTTTCTATGATTTGCTTAATTATATCTTTTGCTCACTTTTGTTTTTTTCATAGAGGCATATTATGTAGAACTAATTTCTCTTTTCTATTTATGCTACAAATGCTTTCTTAGTTTGCCTTTAATATTTTCCATTTTTTTAAATTGCAGAAAATGTTTTTTATGTTCTCAAATATTTTATTATTGCCACAGAGAAAATCCTTGTCTCTGTATACTTAAATTTAGAAACACTGGGCAATGTAGTGAATAGGCAAATGGGACTGTTATCATTGAATCTTAAAGCACTCATCCTGTTCTGGTGAACTAATATTGTGTACTTTTTGCTTAGACTTCCTCCAGAACCTGCAGTGTCTTTAGTAATGTCTGGGGCAACCTAAAGGGCTTGGAAAACTGGCTCCACAAGAACCAACAAGAAGTTGTTGCTGAAAAACCAAATTATGAAAAGGGTAACAGCTATTCTACCACCAGTTTATGCTCCATTAATACTGAAAAGGTTGAAGATCCAGAGCTTCTTGATCAAGATGAGATGAGTCTTTCTGATTGGCTGTTGACTGACCAGGACTCTCCAAAGCTGGAGAAGCCTGGGAATGGCAGCTGTGAGACCAGTGAGAAGTTTAAGCGCCTGTTCCAGGTGTTCCATGAGTCCTACAATGTGAATGATTGGCTTGTCAAGTCCGATTCCTGTACCAATTGTCGGGGCAACCAGCCGAAAGGTGTGGAGATTGAAAACCTGGGTAATCTGAAGTGCCTGAATGACCACAGTGAGGCCAAGAAAACCTTGTCCACTCCCAGCATGGTTATTGAGGATTGGCTTGTCTGGAACCATCAGGACCCATATAAAGTAGAGGAGGTCTGCAAAGCCAATGAGCCCTGTACAAGCTTTGCAGAGTGTGTGTGTGATGAAAATTGTGAGAAGGAAGCCATGTCTAAGTGGCTGCTGGAGAAAGAAGGAAAGGATAAAAATGGTATGCCTGTGGAACCAAAATTTGAATCAGAGAAGCATCCAGATTCCCTGAATATGTGGCTCTGTCCTTCCAGGAAAGACGCAGCAGAACAAGCTAAAATATCAAAGGCAATGGCTGCTTCCAAAATTGCTGATTCCTTCAAAATGATAAGGAACAGTTCCTTGTCAGAGTGGCTCATCATACCCTCATGCAAAGAAGCACATCCCAAAGATAGAGCTGGCAAACAAAAGCTTATGAGTCCGGTGGCCACTTCCTGGTGTCCCTTTAATACAGCTGACTGGGTCTTGCCAGGAAAGAAGACAGGAAACCTCAGCCAGTTATCCTCAGGAGAAGACAAGTGGCTACTACGAAAGAAGGCCAAGGTGGGCAGACATCAAAATAGCACCATTTGAAATATTAACAGGTTTTTACTTTCCTAATCCCAAACCTTGCAAATGGCCCAGATCCTTAAACATGTTAAGTGTTAAATTTTGCTTAAGTATTGATTTTGGTACAATATTAGCAACAGAATGGAGGATTTGTGAATATTCAGACTAAAGTTTTTGAGCATTTTACAGGTTCACAATCTCCATCCTGCAGGGGGAGAAATACACAAAACATGCCAGTCTGTTTTATTGCTATTTACGGGAAAAAATTTAGGGGCAGAGGAAACAATTGTTACCTTTGCTCTTAAAGAGAGAATGTCCAACATTTACATTATTCCTTATTGACACTGTATTATTGGGAAGATTATTTGTAGCAACTCATCTTTTTGTCTTGCAGGAAGTATTACTTAATTCACCGCTGCAGGAGGAACATAACTTCCCCCCAGAGCATAACTATGCCCTCCCAGCAGTTTGTGATCTCTTTGCCTGTATGCAGCTTAAAGTTGATAAAGAAAAGTGGCTATATCGAACTCCTCTACAGGTGGGTACATGCCAATAGTGTACGTATTAGATTTTGCAGCTTGTTTTCTTATATATAAACTTGTACTTTGCCCATTAAACCAAATTCATATTAAGGGAATAAATATTAGGCAAATGAGGGGAGAGGGAGATAATAACATTTCATGTATTTCACTTGAATTTGCTTTATGAAATAACTAGTACATATTTGAAAGTGGCATTTCAAGATGTGATGTAGTTGTCAGGAATTTTTGGAATCTGTGTGAATTCAAATAGCTTATTGAGAAATGAGTGAGCTTTTAAGGTGGGGAGAAATGTTTTCATGCTACAGTGAAGTGATTGTTTATCTGTGGACCTTTCTTTACAGATGTGAAGGAATGGAGTACTAGAATCAAGCAACATTTCTGCAAATCATCACATTTCCATGAGCCGAGTGACTGCAGCTTGCCAAATCATTGTGTTCCTGGGTGTGACCAGCCAGTTCAGTTCCTTTCTAATTTTGAATTAGTGAAGAGAAATGTCATCACTTATGAATTACTGTGTAAAAGAAAAAGGCTGTTTGTTGATGCTGAGGTGACTGTTTCTTCTTACAATTCACCCCAACACTAGAAAGAAACACAGTATGTTGGTGGATATTTCTTTCACAAGTCTCCATGGCTCCTTAGATTGTGTTGTTGTTAGTACATTAAAACTGTAGTTTTAAAAACGAAAGAGTTTTATAATCAAGGTGTTGATTTAAAGCTAGTCAACTTTCTTAACCTTTTGGTTACCCTTCTTTAGATGTTTCCCTTGCTGTGGGTTTTTCCCATTAGTGGTGGAAGTCATTATTTCTTCTGTTTAAGTAATATATAGCACATTTCACACAAATAACCTTGAGAATAGTGATTTTTTTTTTTTTTTGGTAAACCAAAATGTGTGCCAACATCTTGGCAATTTTTGACATTAATTACAAAACATTTAACCAACAGGTCAGATTCTACATTTTCTTTTGTAAGAAATTAAAGCTACTGCAAATTTTGTATTTATTTCCTTAAGTGTTATTAAATTATCTAGTGAGCTCTTTTAGAAAAGCTCTAAATTGCTTTAAGATGATATTCTGGTTAATCCTCCTCTATTTGAAAATAATTTTAAGAAATGCAAGCAAAAGAGCCCCAGTGCCGATTAATCAGAGAGCAAACGGCAAAACATGTTGGAAACATGTACTATAGTACTTGAACTATTCATTATCCTAAGCGTTGGTTATTGGTGTATCCTGTGTAAATGGAAGTTGAGCTTGACATTAACACTTGGTGCTTTTAACTAGGGATAAATTAAATATCCTTACTGCAAGCAGTGTACCTTGTACCTTTATCTCTAAAAGTGCAGTGAGCTGGCTGTTCTGAACACTTGTGCCTTGGGGTGTTTATTGAAGCTTTATGAAAACTGGTGTTTTCTCAAAGTCCTTAAAGTCATGCCCACGATTTAAAAAGTTTCTCTGTAGGAGAGAGATGGGATTTGTTTTTAAATTCTTTGATAAGCTGCTTTCCAGGCTTCTAAATTAAGCCACTAAACTTGCCCTGGTATATGGTATTGGAAATACTTTTAAAGTGTGTGATGTTATCATCTAGAAGCCCCTTTGGGGAAATTTCAGTTTTAATAGTGCCGTTTGCCATACAGCTTCATTGGAATTCTTGAACCGTGGCTGGAAAAAGCCCTCTATTATTTTATCTCCCCCAGACACCATTTGGAACTTTAATAAAGGTGGTGGGTAAAAACGTTAAGGAGCCTTTCCATTATTTTAGGTTGCAGGAAACTTTGTAGTTTTTGAGGTTTAACACTGTGTATTCCTACATTTACATTAATCACTTTGCTAATTAGTATGTAAAAGTCTTTTGCATTGATGCATTTTGTACTTCCATTAAAAGTCTAACAGCCATAGTTGTGTGTATTTGTAAAAGTACCTTGTAACAAAATATTCTATCACATGTAAATGTGATAACCTTTGGTTAGTAGTACACTGATAACAAAAATTTTTATATTCAATAAAATATCTGTATTTTATGAATCTTAAGTTAGCAAGAACAGGTATGCTGCTACTAACTTCCATTTTCAGTCTGTTGCTACAAACTATCTTCATGTTATTCCTTTTAATTTTCAATCTGCTAAAACTTTCTGCCAAATCCTTCCTTACTAGATGCATCCCAATAGACCCCTTTTTCCAATCATAACCACCAGTTGTTTAGAATTTATTATATATGTATAATCTGCAGTGCAATTTTATTTTTCATATATAGAAACTAGAAATAACTTGCCTTTATTTCATTTCACTTTCCCAAGGCTTCCTTAAAAAACTCAAAGCTCTTATCTATTACATCTCTTTTTCTATCCCCAGAAAGGGGACCAGTTAATATATACATAATTAAGCATGATCACTGGACAGGTGGTTCTAGCACACTAATGGTATAATGTTTAATCTGAAGTATCTTGAGGTTATTTAGTGTCAACTCTATTGGAGGAAAATTTTAACCCATCTGTTAATACTGCCAGTAACCCTTCATTTCAATTCAAACATGAAAACATGTTTTAGCCTAGTTGGGGCAGAAAAAAATGCTAAGAGTAAATTTCACTTTAAAATCAGAAAGATGTTTTTAAATGGAAACACCCACTATGTTTACGTTGGAGTGGACTTTGGTTTTTCACACTTTATTGGGAATACAAGGCAATATTACAGTCTTGGATCATTAAATGAACAAACATGGTGAATATAGTATTGACAACAAGAATGACCTGAATGATGGGAGTAAGTGGTTTGTCTTCCAGTTCAGGAGGTAACAAAGAGAACAGGTGCAAGATCTTGAAAAAGAACCATATTACTCAGCCACCAAAGGGTTTTGGCTTCAACTCACTAATGGCTGGAAGGAAAGCCAGTCTAGTCAACCATCTTCATCACAGCAATTCGGAAATCCGCACAATTTTTCAAACTATTTGTAGGTATAGAAGAGAACTCCAGACGGACTCATACATTGATCTGGATGACTACTAAAGTGTCCTCTAGTCACAAGTTGGCAGAATCTTCAGAGTGACTGTTGGAGCAAAGAGCCCTTCATGTGCTCCCAGTTGTTATATAGTGCATAGAGGCTAGTAAGTGTCAGTCCTGCTAGACCACCTCGTGCTACCCCTCGAAGACCACCTGGGGGAGAGAGAGAGATTTGTATTGCATAGTGTCCTAGCACCAAAGAATTAAACGAGTATCAAGATGGAGACATAGCATTCATGTTTATAAATACTCCATCCCAAGTGGAGAGTAGAAGTTTTACAAGTGATATAATAAACCAAATCAGGAGTTAAATGTCCTAAATCAGTGGTTCTCAACCTTCTGGCCCTTTAAATACAATTCTTCACGTTGTGACGCAACCATAAAATTATTTTTGTTGCTACTTCATCACTGTAATGTTGATACTGTTATGAATTGTAATGTAAATATCCGATATGCAGAATGGTCTTAGGCGACGCCTGTGAAAGGGTCATTTGACCGCCAAAGGGGTCGCGACCCACAGGTTGAGAACCACTGCCCTAAATGATCTGTTTAATATACATACTAGATTTCATTTAAAACATTTTTCAATGTCACAATTTTTACATAAGAATCAGTATTAACAATTTCTTGACTTTTTTTCAATCTGACTTGTTCTTATACTTTTAAAGATTGTATGCTTATCATTGAAGTCTCAGCCAGATAAAGTATTTCCTGCTAATATAGACTTCACTGGCATTGTCAACTGACGATAGTAAGGCAGTAATATAGACAAGGCAACACTCTCTTTGGAAATAGTGAGCAGCCTTTGTACTCTGCACATGTTCTGAAAATAGTAACTTTAAAGATTCAAGTAGTGGCAATAAGTGGCTATAATGAAGCTGTGAGTTAGTTAGGTGCTGGTGAAGCACCACTCCCCTGCCCCCATTCCTACACTGATGTGTGGGACAATCTTCTATAACTACAAAGCAATGAGGCTTTTAGCATCATCACACTAGTTGAAAACATTCAAGGATTAGACTCTTTGCTTAACAACAAAATAGTTTTCGTGTTGAAAAGGATCAGCAATAGATATTTTGTTTGAAATGCAGAAACAAAAATGTTTCAACCAGTTATTTGAAAATAGCCCCCAAGTCTGCTAAGACAAATGGGGGTTACCAAAGTAACAAGTATTTGATGTTTTTTACAGTTTCGTAAACAAGTAGGGCCCATAAACTTTAGGCAGCTACCTCTGCACTTGTGGAGTATTTTTTTCAAGTTGTGTCAGGATCGCAAAGGGAATGGAGCTGCAATCCAGTGATTACCTTATTGAGGTCTGAGACAGGAAATTCTGTGAAATTCAGTGATGTTGCCAAATTCACTTCAACCATTTCGGCAATGAATGTCCTGCCAGATGGTTTCAGCTGATAGATTTAAGCGGCCACTCCTTCCAGGAGCCTCTCTAGTCTGAAGAGTTCTGATAGCTGAGCTGCTTATTAGGCTTCCACTATGAAACGCCCTAATTATCTCTCTTAAACAGACCCAAACAGAAACTGCATACACAACATCTATAAGTAGATGTCAAATATGGGGAGGGGGAGAGTCAGAAACATCAAAAAAATTTAAATAGGAGATATCTCCTTGAAGTCCAGATCTCTATATCATCTTGTTATAGTTAGACTAGGCATTGCAGTTTAACTTGCAACTGTATTCAATGTGGTTGAAACAAAAGTAATGTACAGTCAATCTGCTCATTTAAAACAATCTCAGTTTAATAAGGACCTATGAATTATTTTTGATGAGTATGTCAATAAAAAGTTCTATGGGCTGAAAGTGAACTATAATTAGACCAATTTCCTAAAATGGAAAAAACTACTTTGTATAGGAGAATAAAAACTAAGCTATCTGCCAGATCACTATGGCTCAGTTACTAAACTTTTGAGTATAATGAGGGTTCTCTGAAACAGATTACAGAAGTTTAATACTCTAACCATTCTGAGTCAACACAAAGCAAAAGCTAAGGTGGCCTCACTGCTACTGATCAGAAAAATGATGGGAGGCAAGGAACTGAAAGCACAATAATGTCCATAGATACTCGTTCCTGGGATCAAACATTCGGACTAACTTAGCTGGTTGGCAAACTGCGGCTCGTGCGGGCGCGCACGTACAGTGTAATTGAAACTTCATGGCCACACTCAAGGGGCCGAAAAGCTACATGTGGCTCGCGAGCCGCAGTTTGCCGACCACTGGGTTAGGAGGTTGCAGACCCAGAGCTCTGAAGTCTGCCTGTGGGTTTGGAAATAGCTGCTAACTGCCTGCCAGTTGGCCCACTGCTTTGAGTATCTTAACATAGCTTCTACTTGACCCTTTTGGAAAGATTTTTACACTAGTTTTCAGCCATCAGATGAACCTCCTGGGCATATAGGCACTGGGGTAACAATGAAACTGGAAGGCTTTCCGATCTCTGGGCCATCAATGGCATATTAAGTGTTCATTAACAGTGTATCCCCCAGAAAGCTTTCTACTTTCTGACCAAAATAAAACAAACTTAGTTCAAATCAAGTTACTTCTTTGAAGACTAGAAAAAAATTATTTCCAGCAAAAAAACACCAAAAATATGCAGTGTTTGATGTACTAAGCACAGTTAATCCTTACTCTAGGGTAACCTTTTATCACATACCAGCCATGTTTTAGTTTTAACTCTTACCACAAACTTTAGAGTTTTCAACTGGTTGATGTATTAAAAGTTTGAGGACCTTGGCTTTAAGCTTTCTGTAATCAACTTCTGGCTAACTAAGCACAGGAAGTTGATTAGCAAATATCTTGTTCTGAACACAGAGTAATCAAATAGGGCCAACGGTCAGTGTCTGTAAAGCACAACTAATGACACGTGTTTCACAGATTTACCTTCCATCTTTTGGATCCTTACACAACTAACAGAGGGCAAATATTCCTTCTAATCATGGGGAATGCGGCCCAGAATCTTTAAATGCCTTTTGGGAGGCAGAGAGCTGGCTAATGGCAGAGCTTATATTGAACTGATAATTACTTTAGAGCAGGAATTGGCAAATTTTTCTTAAAATGGACAGAAAATAAGTATTTTAGGCTCTGAGGGACCAAAGGCTATTATGCAGTACTTACATAAGCATTTAAAATGTAGCTAAAAAAAAAAAAAGTAAAGCATAAGGAATAGACAGGCATCTAGCAAAAGGGAACTGGTGGCCCCTGCTTAAAAACCACCACCTTACCTACACACACTGAGATGGCTACTAAACATTCAAAATTTTGCATGAACTTCACAATTGTTTTTGTATTACTTTTAAAAATTGTTTTAAAATACATGTAACATCGTTATTTACCATAAGTGTCCAGTTCAGTAGCATTAAGTACACTGGCAATGCTATGCTACCATCATCATCCATCTCCAGAGAACTTTCATCTTGCAAAACTGAAACTCTGTACCCACTACACTGTATCTCTCCACCCCACTCCCAAAGGAATGCCTACTTTTTTCTAAAAAATATATTTTATTGATTTTTTTACAGAGAGGGAGAGAGAGAGAGAGTTAGGAACATCGATGAGCGAGAAACATCGATCAGCTGCCTCCTGCACACTCCCCACTGGGCATGTGCCCACAACCAAGGTACATGCCCCTGACCGGAACGGAACGGAACCTGGGACCCATGAGTCTGCAGGCCGACGCTCTAGCCACTGAGCCAAACTGGCCAGGGCGGAATGCCTGCTTTTTATGTTGTTAAATCTTTACTCACTTTTGTTATTATCAAAGTAGCCCAATACATAATTTAAAAGTCAAGATAGCACTAAAAGACTTTAATTAAGCACAATAGTCTGGTGCAGTCTCATCCTCACCTTAATCCCCTGTTCCCTAATTGTCTTTATCTTCATGATTCTAAAGAATATGATTATCGCCCTAGCTGGTTTGGCTCAGTGGATAGAGCACTGGCCCGTGGAATGAAGGGTCCTGGATTCGATTCTGGTCAAGGGCATGTACCTTGGTTGCAGGCTTGATCCCTAGCCCTTGTGGTTGTGCTTACAGTAGGCAACCAATTGATCTGTCTCTCTCACATGGATGTTTCTCTCTATCTCTCCCCATCCCTTTCACGCCCTCTAAAAACCAATGGAGCCCAGCCGGCGTGGCTTAGTGGTTGAGTGTTGACCTATGAACCAGGTGGTCACAACTGATGAAATGAGGGAATAGTGAGAAAAAGGTAGAAATCAAAGGTGACTGGGTCACTAGAGGCTGTTTCCTGCTTCCCTGTTTTTTCTTGTTGCTGTTAGAGTGGAAGTGATACATGACTTTGAACAGCAGACACTGACTTTGCTGTGCTTCCCTCAGCACAGTCTCACCCCCTCTCCCATGCAGTGCCAGTTCTTCCGTGCAACACTACACACACTAAACTATCTCAGCTGCTTTTGACTCCCCACATTACTGTGTCCTTTTAGGACTATTTTCACAGATCCTTAGTCTTTTTCAAGGGGGCTTTTCTGTGGGTGGTAGGGAGTGTCCCAGACTCTTTCAGAATCTTATGCAAGTTTTAGAGAGTTTATCAACCCTGAGTGAATATCTCCTGGTATTAAGCTTTGTACTCAGAAGAAGAGTGAAAGTTTAACTCTCTCTGGAAGTTACAAACAATTTAAGGTTTACAAGTAAAAATAAATGCTAGTATTTAGGAGGTAAGATTAACAGATGTCTAGGCAAGCCAAATTCTTTCCTGTGGTCTGTGAAGCTCTATCTGCTCCATGATTTGGTCCCTTGCCATTTTTTTTAAAAAAATGTATTTTATTGATTTTTTACAGAAAGGAAGGGAGAGGGATAGAGAGTTAGAAACATCGATGAGAGAAAAACATAGATCAGCTTCCCCCTGCACACTCCCCACTGGGGGCGTGCCCGCAACCAAGGTACATGCCCTTAACCGGAATCGAACCTGGGGCCCTTGAGTCCGCAGGCCGACGCTCTATCCACTGAGCCAAACCGGTTAGGGCCCTTGCCATTTTTATGACCCCAGATTCAAATACTCCTCCCAATGCCTTTGAACTCATGCTGCAGGGCCTTTACGTATATCACTCCCTCCCGACTCCCACCTCACATGCTCCCTCATGTGTCAGTCTGTGCAAACATCATCTTCTCCTTGAAGTGAGTCTCAAAAGCCTTAGGGCATAGAGTTTGGCATCTATGCCTTAGTTCGCTGTGGAATAAACTGCCGAATGTTAGATTACTTGAGCAAAGGATCTACATATTTAAAATAACTAATGCCAAATTTCCCTTCAAAACACCTGCTTATCTTTTGCCAATATTAAATGCCATCTACCATCACCTTATTTAAGCCAGTTGGTGAAAAATATTATCTTAATGTTTTCTTTTACTTTTCCTGGCTGCTTGTGAGACTGAACCACTTCTATCATTGAGCAGTCATTTGTATTTTCCCCCTGAAGTGTCTGACATATCCTTACTCCATTTTTTACTTAAGTGATTTGTTGAAATGTTTTCTAGATTATGGCAGTTAGCCCTTTGCGTATTTTATATGTTACATGCATTTTTATTTGCTGGAATAATGCTGATGTTAGTAACAGAAACAAAAAAGTCATCAAGAGGCTCCTCCTTTTGACACATAGAATTTAATTTTAAAGGCCTGGCATTCATGGATAAATATTACCTTTTAATAACGACTGATGACAGTTGCTTAATTTGATTAACTGGATTTGTGTATCTTTTCTGCTTAGTTTGCTTTTATAGATGACTTTCTTATGGAAGGAGCAAGATTAACTGATCAGGGATTTTTTGTGAGTGGCACCCATGTCTTGGTTTCTGAGGCCTTATTTCCTGAAGATAAGTGATCAGTCTCTAAATCATTCCAAAACTACGGATAATAACAAAACTAAAGCTGTTCTTGTTCTGATAGAATACTGGCTATTATTAAATACTTTTATATGCCACAGGAAATCTAATAATGATATTTCACGCCTTCTGAAAAATATTTACATAACTTATTAAGTAAACATTAGGTCTGAAATGTTATGAACATATGAACATTTAGTTCATATGAACTAAAATCATATGAACAAACTGAACTACCAAGCAAAATAGAGACAGTCTCATAGACAGCAGGAAGACAGCTTGTATGTGGGGGGAGGTGAAAGAAGGCATAGAAGGGATAAATGGTGATGGAAAAAAAGAAAAGAAAATTGCCTTGGTCGGTGTCACTCAGTGCCGGTTCATGCTCCAAAGGGTCCCAGTTTTAACTCCTGGTCAAGGGCACATACCTGGGTTGCAGGTTGGATCCCTGGCCCAGGTCGGGGCATGTATGGGAGGAAACCAATTGATGTCTCTCTCACATTGATGTTCCTCTTTCTCCCTCCTCCCCTCTCTCTAAAAGTCAATGGAAAAAATAAACTCGGGTGAGAATTAACAAAATAAAATGAAAAATGTTTTAAAATTATATTTTTATTGATTTTCAGAGAGGAAGGGAGATGGAGAGATAGAAACATCAATGATGAGAGAATCTTTGATTGGGTCCCTCCTGCATACCCCCTACTGAGGACTGAGCTCACAACCCGGGCATGTGCCCTTGACCGGAATAGAACCTGGGACCCTTCAGTCCACAGGCTGATGCTCTATCCACTGAGCCAAACTGGTTAGGGCTAAAGTGACAGCCCCAGAGCTATACTTTTTTTTTTAAAAAAATAATATTTTGAAGAGTACACTGGGGATTGCAAATATTTTAGGTCAGTAGGAATTAGCCATTCTCTAAATGTGAAATTCCTCCCCTAACAGTTTATGCTGCTCTAGACTAGAGTGCCCAAA